TTTCTAACCATGATTAAAAACAAAGAACTGAGTGAGCTTTGCTCTCTTCACAAAACTCCTTATTGCTTTGTAAGAAAATATATTGGCCTATTTTTTTGTTGGTAAATTTATTTACATTAGTCAATGTTTAGGATTCCATAATACCCTGTAATTTTTGTAATTTAAAAAAGTATCTTTAAAAAGTAAAGCCAATGACAACAGCAAAAATGGTAGAGTAAGGAGCTCCAAAAATTCACTCTTCTATAAAAGCTATAAAAATACTGGTACAATTTGGCACAGTCAGGTTGTTTTTTTTTTAATAATCGAAATTAACCAAAGGCTTACAGCAACTTGAAGAGTATTTATTCCGCATCCCCCTCAAAAAATGGCTGAACCTTTTTAAGAACAGCAGGCTTTGTGACATCTTAACATTTCCAGGTCCCATCCCCTGCTCTCCAGCTCTATGTTATCCTTAAAAAATAACAGCCCACATTCCTGATACAACATGGCAACCACCAGACAGAGCAGAACAGAAATGAAGCTCTTTCAAAGCTTTACTCCTGAAGATTTGTCATTTTTTGATCTGTCTGATGAGTCTCTAAAAGATCCCACTTACAAGGCTGATTATATACAACCTGAGAACTCACTCAGTGAAAAAGGCCTTCTCTTTAGTGTGTGTGTGAGGTAGGGGGCAGCATTTGTGAAAAACAATTACAAGAATGTGTTTTAACTTTGCAGCAACCTGAAGCAGTGATTAACAGTCAGGGAAAACAAAGGACTAACCAAAAACCTTAAAAGGAAAGCTAGGAAATGAGATATCCACAGGGACTATGAAAAGCTCTGAAATATTCCTGGAAATATAGAAGCCCACACATATGTGTAGGGCTGTATACAGGTTCAGGAAAGACCTGAGAAGGCCATAAGCTCTCACTGCTGGCTTATCCTGAGTTTCTGGTACAAGCAGGAATTTGAAAGCTAAGGTAGATTTGTCAACTGTGTGGCGAAATGTTGAAGTTATGCCCTCATACACACAAAAAGACCCTTAGCAAACATTGGGAAATTTATTGATTTAAGGAAATTTCTGTCCAAACATTAGCTGAACACTAAGCTAATCAAGTAGAGACCAGTTTCAGTCACAAGAGTACAAACTTTTCAGAATTAGTTTAGAAAAATTGCTAAACAAACAATAACAACTAAAACAAGAAGAAAAAACAATAAACCATGGAGTTAGGGGAGAATCTAATTTCCAGAGTTGTCACTGTATTTTTTTAAATGTCAGTTTTCAACAAAAAAATTATAAGACATGAAATGAAATAAGAGAGTATAGCCTATAGAGACAAGGAAAAGCAAACAATAGAAACTTTTCCTAAGGAAGCCCAGACATTGGACTTACTAGAAAAAGATTTAAAGTCAGTTATTTTTAATATGTCCAGAGAACTAAAGAAAATCATGTCTAAAAAGCTAAAGGAAAGCATGAAAGTAATATCTTCCCATATGGAATATCAATAAAGAGATAGAAATTATCAAAAGAACCAAATAGAAATTCTGAAATTAAAAAGTATAATAACTGAAATGAAAAATTCACTAGAGGGGCTCCACAGCAGATGGGGGAAAGCAAAAGAAAGGATCCATGAAGCTAAAGATAGTTCTTTGATATTATTCAGTCTTAGGAACAGGAAAAAAGTGAAGAAAAACAAACAGCCTCAGAGACTTATGTATACTACCAAACACATGAACATTCACACAATGAAAGTTATTGAACAAGTGCAGAGAGAGAAAGGAAAAAAGGAATATTTGAAAAAATAATGGCTGAAACCTCCCAAATTTGATGAAAACATCAATCTATACATTTAAAAAGCTCAACAAACTCCAAGTAGGATAAACTCTAAAAGAACCATACCTAGACATATTATAATCAAGCTGTTAGAAGCCAAAGATAAACTTGAAAGCAGCAAGATAGAAGCAACTTCTCATGTACAAGGGATCCTTAATAATATTAACAGCAAATTTCTCATCAGATATCACACAGTCCAGAGGGTCATGGGCTGACATATTCCAAGTGCTTAAAAAAAAGGAATTGTCACGAAAGAATTCTATATTCAGCAAAACTATCTTTCAAAAATGAAGGAGAAATTAAGATATAGCTAGATAAACAAAAACTGAGAAAACTTGTCACTAGTAGACCTTACCTACAAGAAATACTAAAGGGAGTCCTTCAGTCTGAAATAGAAGAATACTAGTCTTGAGTCCACATGAAGAAATAAAGAGCACTGGTAAAGATAACTGCATAGGTAACTATAAAAGATAACATAAACATGCCCTTGTACTCTCTCTGTTGTGAATTCTCTGGTGGATTAAAAAAAGGGGGGGGGGCACTGAAGAGACATAGGCTGGCTGAATGGGAAAAAGATACAAATCAAGTATTTACTGTCTCCAGGAAACACATCTAACCCACAAGGCCTCATTCAGACTCAAGGTAAAGGGATGGAAAACAATATTCCATGGAAATGGAAACCGCAAGAAAGCCGGTGTCGCCATTGTCACATCAGATAAGATAGACTTCAAATCAACAAAAGTAAAGACAAGGATGGTCATTATATGATGGTGAACAATTCAACAAGAAGACATAACAATCCTAAATATCTATACACCTAACA